GCAACATTGTTACTCACTTTTCACTGTAATAATCTTCGATCACAGCATTCGTTAGTGTAATACTGTCTTTCACAGTATTTTTTACAATAACGTTATTTTCTTGTAAAACTTTTTATCGCAGCATCTTATATCGCAATATTTTCTATTGCAATGCTGCTTTTTTACGGGACTATTTGCCATTGTAATGTCTTCAGTGAAATACTGGTTTTTACAATACTTTCCATTGCAACGCTGTATATTGTAATTACATTGTTTCGTTAATTTATAGACGTCTTTCAAGCCGTACTAAATAATAGCACAGGCATAATGGTCGTATTATTCTATAGTACGTGTAATTAAAAAAGAAACAATGTTGGCGTTCTTTGCAATAAGAAATATGGAAATTGCTCGTCGGAACGGATCAATGAACGGAGGATCGATTCGAGATATCAGATAATTTCTGTCCTTTCGATGGAGTTTCGTCAAGACTTCAGAACATTTCATTTATTTAATTTACACAAGTTTCAAATTCAAGGATTAGGATTCATCTCCGGGTCCTCGCAACGCTACAATTTGTTATTCGAAACTTCACGAAGAGACCATAACAAAGAGAAAAGATTCTCTATGGAGGCGTGAAAAGTATGATGGTATCCGGCGTTCCGTCGCGTTTGCACATCAAATGACAATCAAACAGTCGGGTTTCCGTACGATTAGGGTGTAACTATGCGAAGTTATGGTACACTGAGCTGTACAATAATCCTCGATTTTCGGCTACTTCAAACAAAACACCGTCTCCGGTGACATCCTCTACCGAGATGCCGCCGATATAACTAACGCTGTACGGAAAAGAGAGAGCGCGCCGACATATGCATATGCACATACTGATATATTTCATACGTTATAACAGCGGTGTCCAATAAAAATCTAATATTTTCTAAACTTTGATCAACTAGACACGCTCGTTTCTTGCGCAATATCTAAATGCTTCTATTAACACGTACAAGGGTATTTTTCACGTGGTCTCTTTTAAATAACATAGAATTAATTAAACAGAAATGTTTAGATCCGTACAAGCTAATTGCGTTAATTGTTTTCAAATACTGAACTGTTAAACTACTATTGAAAGTTGAAAAATTAGAATAAAATCGAATGATTGTGTGAAGTTACAATGATGATTACAATTCGATTTTTAATCCATTATGGATTAGATCCTCGAGGATTAGTATAATATAAAAAATAACTCTCATTTTGATTTGAATGTGACAAACACAATTTCGATGATTTTACAACGCATGGACTCTCTATTGGACGACGCTGGTATACAAAGAACGCATATATCGTATAACACGTACACAGTCTGCATTCTCTCACGAGGACACGAGCGAGTAAAAGCAATGACAACAATAGTCAACCCTTTGAAGATCTACAACTCCCAACCATTGTCTTTGATGCAGCTTCAAACTTTAGCTCACGATTAGTTTTAGATAAAAACGAATTTCTTTACAGGTTAATATATTGTTAAAATAAAATTTTAGCGTTCCACATTTAAAGGTAATGCCTCTCCAAAGGGTTAACAGATATTTAGCAACCCCTAGCATTACTATTATTCGTATAGGATATATTTTATACATTATTTATATGCGGTTAAGTAATTACTTGTTCAATCTGAAACATTTCTGTCGTCTCGAGCAATATGAAAAAAATAATTCGTATAAAAATTGCGCGTTATCAAGAGGGGGTTGCATAGTAGAATCAGTTTCCATTTTGCCTTTCCAAATCACCCGTTTTCACTATGTAAAGTTGTCTTGATCTAGCTGGAAATCTTTTAAAGAATCATTTCTTTCTGTCGTTCGAAGCGACAAAAATATTTAAGATGGACAAGATTATTAATTCTTAACCCGTGATTCGTTAGAAATTGTCAGCCAAAATAACTTTAGATGCGGTGACTTTAGAAAGAAATGCCTTTGATTGAATTTGTTGCGACGTATCACTGAATCTTTTGCTTCAACAATAAAAAGTGTATGATGTTCGTATCTGATTTGCTCAAAAACATTTTCTTTCCAAATCGACCAACGTAAAGGGAAGTCGGATGACGATTTCCAACGACTCTGAGTGTACACGAGTGTTTATTTATATGTAATATTACCAACTAACAGTAATAGTAATAATAGTCGTCGTTCGTGTCCCCGTCGACGAGATCGTAGAACAAACGAACCACGGGTGCAGATTCTGGACAAGATCTCTCCCAGTTCGTCCCCTTAATATGTTTTCTTCTTTGCGTACGCAATAATACTGGCTATGTTTAGTCGTTTACAAGTTACAATTAACTCTTTACTCGTAATTATTATCGTTTCTCGGTGAGTTCGACTTCTCTACTTTGGTTTCGTTCGATCCACCTCTGCCTTAGTTTTCTTCGGTCTCCATTCGTCGGTTTGATATTGTCAACATGTACAAGTCTTGGAGTCGGTACCTCGGCTATTGCCGCGGTGAAATTTATGTATATTATGTATAACCATAGCGTCTGCGTGTACCTATACCGTGCTTTCGTTTCTTTCTCCGCTGATCTGTTCTTTTTATTTCATACATGCACGTATACGTGGACGCAGAGCGTCGTGTACATCAACAGTACCTTCGTGTTCTGTATACGAGGGCTAGCTAACCACTACAAGTAATAGTTTTTTATCAAAAGCACATGTATATCGTGACTGGCCTATGTGTGTATATATAATATGTATATTTATATATATATATATTTATAGTATATTGTATATAAACCTAACGTTGTGTCTGTGTAATTTGTTCGTTTGTTTCTTGTGTGTATCTCTTGTGTGTCACGCTTATACTCTTCCCCACGTTTGCCTCTTTCTTGTCCTCCTTTCGCGTCGGTGATCAGCTCTTGTCGCTTTTCTTCTTCTGCAGCTAGAATTTCTGCTTCCGGAACTCTTTACTCGAGACCTCAGAGCCTCGGACGGCCGGGAATAGCTTGAACTCTGTTGAAAGATCGACTGATGAAGCAGTGGAAGCTTCTTTGATCCGAGGGTGTGCGAGATGAATCGCGGAGCTCGGGGGTTTCCTTTCGTCCCCTCGCATTACAGCAGTTTAAGGTTCCTTGTTTTCAGTCGTTTCGTAGATTTGTGCAATTTGAGACACGGGGGACGTTCTGAAACGCTCGTTGCATGCTTCGAGTGTGTCATCCGATGATGCTACCTTTTGTTTCTTAGGTTTGAGGCTTACGTTTGATGGCTCCTTCTTCGATTGATCGACATCGGGCTTGTGAAAGAAGTTTGATGGATCACGAACGTAGGATAGAAAAGAAGTTCAGGACCTCGAAATTTCCGTTCGTGGCGTTTGTGCGCGAAGAAAAATTCGAATGCTCGCCATACGCGACTCTTCAGCTGCGGAAGAGTATCTTTTGCAACGGTGATCGATTCTTTCTTTATCGAGGAAGGATCTAGTTAAGCCTAATAGTCGAATTTTGTGCAAAAAGTTGCAAACTAGGAACCTGTTTGTTGATGTACATCATTACAGTCTTTGGTGATTATAAAATTATAGCGTCGTTCGCAGCTAAATAGTGCAAACTCTCGTTTAGACACTGCTGTAACTTCAATATGTTTTTTTTTTTTTAGGTTTCTCGTTAGGTGTTACTCAATAAGTACCTTTTTGGTGTAAAATACAAAAAGAATTCGTATGAAAAACTCGCGAAAAGGTTCTAGTCGGTTGGCAGATTATTAATTTTCTTTGCGAAGATTTTGTGACGAATAATCGCGGTGGTCCCATTATGCGCGTCGTTTCGTTTGGGAAACAATGATCGCTTGTATTGTGCGTCTGGCGACAAGATTCAGCCTTGAATCGTACGATTATATGCCCACAATTTGAACGCGTTATTTAAGAAGAATATGTGTGGAACTCGACGCGCTGACTGCCACAGAAACACGTATAAATATCTAAAAACACAACATCGCACGAAGGAAACTTTTCTCTAACGTAGTAACAATGTAATAATGCTTTCAAAGGAGAAATTATTGACTAGAAAACGTTAAACATAACACTGACTAGATCGAAGTCTTTGGTGCACGCATTTTGCTACCCCGAGAGCAGCTTATATCAAAGATTCAATTCACACATTCTCCTATGAAATAAAATATCGTTTCACGATCAAAATGTTGCTACATCAGATTTCGAAACCGAAGCAGTCAACGCGTTTAATCTTTGAGAAATCAAAGAAAGAATATCATTACTTTTTTTCCCAACTTTCATCATCACGCCACAAGAATCGCGGATTAAGATGAAAAGAAACTCTTAGCACGCTTGCTCACCGCTTAAATTTTTCTTAAAATTTCAGTAAACTCTAATTCCACGAATCACTCTAATTCATTTAAAATTTTTTTAAAGAACAAAGATATGGTCATATTTCGATTGACAAGCAATGTTCTAAGAACTTACTTTCATTTTCCCTTCGCTGACCACTTCAAAACAGATACTCCTACAAACAACAAAAAACTTTCCAACATATTCGCAAAACTGTTCCAACAGGTTTAAAAATTCTTCATTACTCTTAAGAGTTTTCTTTTACAATGTTTACGAGTAAATATTATCAGAGTTGGGCAAAACTTCCTTTAAACGATATTTGAATTCACTTTTAAGAACAATAATTTATCATGATGTGAAAGCTGTTTGTTATACTTATCTTTAGGTAAAAAAATCATTTATAGATAAAATGGATCAAAGCAAACCGAAAGCAAAGAGCTACGGGTCAGTTAGAAATGAATGTTTTTAGTTTGTAATCGATGATTAATCTTACCAATTTGTAGAATAAATCATGACCGCCGTATCTCAATTCGCTGAAACAAAATTAATTGCCTAATGCCCAACACTGCTACTTTACAATTTCTATCAACAATCTTCGAATCGGATTGTCCTCTTTGAAAAAACTAGAGATTTTTCAAATTATCAATCAAACGGAGACATTCAATCTATTCATGACGCACGTTCCCAAATCGATCCGGGTGTTAAACGAGACTCTAATGCGTCTTGGGTATGTGCTGGTGTCGATCATCGTCGCTGGCCTCGGCATCGCCTTCGACGCCCATCTCGCCTTCTTCCGGATGCGTTGTATTTCCCTCTTCGGTGTCGACGCTGCTTGTTGGTGTGATTTGTTCTGTTCCAGGGCCGGTCGAGTCAGCTGTGGCCCCTTCGTTGCCTTTCTCGAGTCCCAAGCCGCCCAGGAGGCTCTTGTTAATTGGCTCTGGCGAAGCTTCCGACTCCTCACTGCTAGGTGAACCGGGAGACGAGACTATCACCTGTGCAGACAAGGACGCCGCATCGCCAGCGTAATTTTTCATTAATTGTCGCTTCCTCGAGTACACGGGGATTTTTTTAAAAGAACATTAACCCTTTGCACTCTACCCAAAATGATGATCGAACTTGGTCTACGTATTTAGAATTAATCGAAGATCTGCTGCACAAAGGGTTAAACGATAGAAGAGAATGTGGAACATGAAAAGATTATAATGTTTTGTGGTTGCGTGCAGGATAGGTTCTGTGTTTTTGATGCGAAGATACTACCGGATGATTCCTAAGGAAAATAGAACAAGTTGAGGCCTTCATTTTTAAGAAACGTGCGAGCAAAGTAGATGTAGGTACACACAGAAGTCCGAGACATGGCAATTATGATACACTCCTTGCATCGTATTACCTGTTTGATATTTCTGACGCCGTCTATAAAGAATTTCCAATTAACAATATTGCTGTTCATCGAGAAAGATGGATCCATTAAAAGGGATCTCGGATGGTTCGAATAAAATCTTTCTATGCTCAAAGTTGACGAATTGATTTTTACATACCACTGTACAGTTCAAACTATGTCCTCTATTCTATCATCTATTTCTTAACTGAGGTGCCTCGCTTTGTGTACTGCGTTTTATCTATCGAGTGTATGTACTATACTTGAAAAGTTTTAAGGATATCATTCAAGTGTTAAGGATACTGTGCACCTGATTCCAGTTCGACTTGGATATTATACATATTGAAGAGTCTTGTATCTTCTTTCCTCCATATTACTGCGTTGAAAATTCTACGCAGAAACATCGAAACCATCAACGTCGAACCGAATTCAAGATGCGACACTCATGGTGCAATTATAGCATGCTAGGATACACTAACGATCCCATAGAGTCTCGGTAATTAGAGTCGTCTCAAAAGTCGAGTGATTGCTTAATTAATACGATACTATTCCTACATCTTCCGTTCCTTCTATTTTCTAATCTGAGGATATACATATGTTGTGAAAGGTGAAAATTATGTTACATGAATACGAGACTCTGTAAATGAACATGTTTATGTCGATTAATTGAGAGAGAGAGGTAACATCAAAGTTTTGATTGTACTTTACCTCTAAAAAGTGATTTAATGATTTCACCTTAAATAATACAGACCATCTGTTCTCTGATTACATATTTATTCGTCTTTCTTTCAAGCACAAGCTTCGATTATCTTTATTATTTACTTTTGTCTTTGAAGAGCCTCTAGTTCTGTTTGTCAATGTTAATATTGGATAGCTTCGATGTGCTTTGCTTTTACACGAATAAATATTCACCACTATTTTTGCAATCAGCTACAAATGTTTACGTGTTTACACATACATGGTACAGAGTCTTCGAAAAACAAAAAATTTAGAATTGCATAAATATTGTATTACTTGTCAAATACCCTCTACCCTTTTATCAAAGAATTATTATTACTGAAATCCACACAGACACTGTGCATAAACGTGGTGTACAGTGACAGACGAGTATGTGTACATCGGTTTTCTGATGTCTGACACGGGCCATGCATGTGATAACGATAACTAAAGGCTGACGTTAACGCGAATGAAAACGATAATAACGATAATACCTGTGCAAGAAGCGGCGTCTCTGTGCTGTCAGCGGTTTGGTAGAGCCGGCAATTTGCGCTTGCTCTGAAGAATACGTGCCCAAACGAAAAAAGATAAAGAAGACAACGTAAATCGTCACTATAATGGAAAGACGTCGAGACTGGCGGCGCAAACGAACGGAAATTATAAACGACCCACAGATCGGTATGCCCAAAATAATTTACAGAACTGACATCGAGACATGCACGGAGGCGTTTCAGTGTGGTAATATTTACACGGACAACGTCGCGATGGGTCGTCTCGCAAATTGTTCATCGCGCAGAACAGACTTCGTTGCTTGCTTGACAAAATCTCGCGTTAAAGAAGAAACGTTTCTTCGTCCATAAGAAATATCCGCATAGTGTCCGTTCACGAGTTTAATGAAACTTTTAAGAATACTTTACTTGGCGACGGTATCTCAAACTCCAAGAGGGGAGTGGGGTTGATGACACTCTGCGGATCCTTGTCAGTTACGATCGAAAATATTTCTTCGCTTAGTTTTTAGGGAAATAAAATCGATTTTGGGCACGAAAATTCAAATAAACGAAAGTGCAGAAACGTTTACAGGCGAAGGAAAGCTCCACAACGAAGAATTTGCAACGATCAACGGTAAAACTCAAGTGTCCTCGAGAATCACGGTGACCTGAAACCGACACGATCTCAACGGACGAACGGATGAATGAATGAGTAAATGAATGAACGAATGTCTCGTTTTGATCGACGAATGATTCGAAATTATGAAAGCGCGTCAGGGTTGTTCTGTGAAGCGAAACAAAGGGAGAGAATAGAGTCATTTACTTTGCCTACCATGCTGTTCACAACACGCTTCAGATAATGCATATGGGACACGGACAAAAAAAGCGGAGAGCGAGACGAGACTGTTGCCGAAATTCTTGAAGCGTTTCGTTTCACTTTCTGGGCACTTCTTTCATTCTTTCCAACGTAATCGACAAGCGTAATTTGGCGATACGTTTTAAATACGTCACGCGTCGTATATACAAATACAAGCGAAAAACTTCAAGAGGAAGAAAGAACTCAAGACCAAAGAAATTGTAAGCTCTCGTATATCTCTTGCTTCTCTTTTTCCCATCCTCTGTATGCGTTCAAACCGAATCAATCATATCGTTCTATTTGACGCAGAAAGATAAAATACTTCAGTACCTTTGGCTTTGACACTTGGTGGTGACCAGATCAAGTTGTTAGGTCTAGGATAATTGTTGATTAAAAAAAAAAAAAAATGAAAAACTTATAGTGTTGAACGCTACAAACAACCGATGTTGATCGAATTATCCAACTAATTTTAGTTGCGTGGATCAACCAATCTCTTCGTTAATGTTTACAAACCGCTTGTAAACTCGTTCAAACCACCTGTGAACGTCGACAAAGGAACGGGGTGAAGAAAGGCGAGAGATTGAAATGAATGTCGTCGAGATAAGGCAAGAATTCTAAAAGAACACTGACCTGTCGAGGTTTGACCGGTGGCGGAGGACGAGTGGAGGGTGCGAGGGCTGCGGGTACCGTAGTTGGAGACTGTTGATGAAGTGAGTGTTGCTGCTGCCAGGGCAGCCCTGTGCGTCCCAATGTTCCCTGCAGCTGCTGCTGCATTTGTTGCTGCGGCTGCTGCTGCAGTTGCTGCTGACTGTTGTGCTCGACTGCTGGCGTAACTCGAGGAAGCGCTGAAGCGACTGAAGAAATCTTCCGAACTGTCTGTGAAATGAGTGACTGATTATTCGGTTCTTATTCTCTAGGTTTAGTTGCTTAAGCAGGCTAAGCTTTGGAGAATGATTGTAGCTCGTTAACAACACTGGTCAACAAACTTTCATTCGTTATGTATCTGGAAAATTAGAGCTATTATTTCATTTTAATTTTCATTTTTATAATTGATATTATACGAATTAGAATTGGCTACTTGGATGAAGGATACTTGCTGTTGACCAGTATAATTTAACATTAATAATTATGCAGCTGAAGGAATGAATGTACAAAAGCATTATGACACTACGTAAGTCACAAAGTCGATAAAATAGAAAATAAAGTCTATTTCCTTCTTGCGAGAAAGCATTGTTAGAAAAGACGACATTACCTGACTTAACTGGCCATATCTCGAGGAGGTATTTAAGAACTGCGATTGGCTGTTGGAAGTCAAGGGGAGGTCTGTTCTCCTCCGAGTATAACATCAAAACTGGTCCAAAGCAGACTGCTAGGCTTGCCGGTGACATTTTGTTGCACTGTGACACCACCATTGCCAGATGATCCAGCAAGTAAATTATCGTACACTGTCATAAAACATAAATAAAATCGGTAATTTATAGAGAAGAAAGAAGCGAATAAACTGGTTAATGCGATGATTAGGATTCTAACTCGATACATACCCTGTTCACTTTCGGTAAACAGTTGAGTATACTGAACATGAGTTTAGCGTTGCCCTGCGGATCATCCGGTATACAGACAGTCAGTGCGTCGACCATCATTTGGTAGAGGCACTTTGTGAAAAGTGGTTCTGGAAGTTCTCGTAAGTAATCCTTTAATACGCCTGCAAAATAATTGTTCGATCCAAATTTTTAACGTTGGTATGGGTAAATAATTTTGATATAGTTTTACTATATCTATTATTTACTATTACAATTTAATTTACCTGTAATGACGTTAATATCCGGTACATTGTCAGGCGACAGGTTCACCGAACGCGCGTTTCTCTCGAAAGCTTCCCTAAGTATCCTCTTCTTCGACGCTGATCCACAAAGTCTATACAAACCTGTGATTCACGAATACTTCATAAGTATCGCAATGATACCAGTATATCCACGCTTCAATGTTGGCAATTAAAATTGTTTAAGTGTTGAAATTGTAAGTAAGCTCACCGATGATATCAAGACCCCTTCTTTCAACTTCTTCTACGCAGCGCCAGACGATTATGGGAACGTTTGGTACGCCCATTGCTAGGGCAGTAGAAACGCCCCCAGGAACTCCGCCAGTCTTACTTTCTCGACTTACCTGAACACCACACAACGTTGGTATCAGAAGTTTGAATACTTATAATCACCAGTAATTGTGGCTTATTGAAAGTATATTTTGTTGTTAGAAAAATAAAGACTTCTTTTATCGGAATATCTATCTGTTACCAAAACAGGTTTAACCTACACATTAATTTTTTATTTAAAATTTCCACGCATGTAATTGATTGACTCACCACAGTGTCAAGATCGACTCCGAAGAGAGGTGCAGCTCTGGTAGCCAAAGATATTACCGGAAGTCCCCTTCTTCGAAAGGTTTGCTGAGCATCGGTATACCGCAGTCTTAAATAGATTGTGCCACGTGGTTCGACCTTGACAGCCAATTGGTGAACCGGTGATTCTTTGAGAAGAGTAGCTAGATGCACAGACCCCTTGTAACAGAGTTTATGCCTGTACTGTGGGTCCCAGGAATAGACGAGCAGATCTAACTGCCGGTTGCCAACGAGGTCCAGCTCGAAGGTCTCGTCCCAGTCGAACATCAGGTCACCGGTTCGCACCACTGTCCTCGCTTTGTGCACCCTGTCGCACTCCAGCACGCAGTACAGGTCCCTCAAGCCACAACTAGCTATTTTCATATCCCGGGAGAAGCAAATTTTTAACACCGATTTCTAATATCTATCATAGAATTTTTACTTTCGAGTTTCTAATCGAAATGATGAACACGTAAAATAGCGTATTCTTTTTATTATACTTTCTAAAGGACAAGAAAATTGTTGGAGTATCGCTGTGGTGCTGTGTGATTTATTTAATGTATCCTGTCAAACCTGTCAAAGAATGTATAGAATCTTGAACTTACCTAAATTAGGCTGACCCGATGGCGTAGAGGGCGTGGTAGCTGCCGACGAGGATGTCGTCGACCGAAGGCCACGTCCTGCCAGAAGGTGGACGAAGAGCAGTCCGCTGACCCCACCTGACAGGTCGCCACTGTTGGATTCTCCGAGCGAACTCAAGAGAGAACTAGTCGAATTCGGAGTCCCTACAGTCGGCGGCTTCTCTATTTTATACTTGAGGAACTCTAAAGAACGCAGAGATATCGTTACACGGTGATCAATTTGGCAATGGAAGACTAGGAAACTTTATCCTCTTTTCACCTGCAGGATTAATATCTAGCAGTCTTTGATCCTGAGTTCTGGTAGGCGTAGGTGTGGGTATGCTTCTAGTTGACTCCAGGTCCAGCAGGTTTCTGATTCTTCTGACCGACGTGGCTCTTTGAGCAGTCGAGTTGCTCAAAGACGGTTTCTGACTCGTCAGGGATGTGCGCGCGCTCGACGCAACCGAGGCCGGTCTTGGATTCGTCGTTCCGCGATGGCAGGTTGAACTGATGGCCGTTGATGCTCTCAAATTGACTAGATTTACTGTTTGTGCCGAGGCTGATCTTGTTGAGAGCCGATCCAGCGTACTTGAAAGCGGTCTATACGTACCGTAGCTACCGTAATCGCCCTGCAGAAAATAAGGAAGGTCTTAACTGTTCACAACTCATAGGCACTGGTACTTTCAAACAGAATGTAAACAGTAAATACACTTATTCTCGATACGATCTTTTATTGACAATACATATTATTCTAATAATGCTAACATTATAGGATAGGTACTACTTACTTGATTGGCAGCTGCATGAATGTTCTCCGCGCTGTAGGTATAACGCGGTGGTCTACTTGTCGTCGCTCTGATTTGTTCATACAATGCACTGGTGCTTGGCGTTCGACTCAACCATGCTCGATACTCGTCCGATGTGAACACACTAGGTGATGATGGTATTCTTCCTGTTGCACAATTACGTATCCACATATATTTCAGTTTAACTATTCGAAATAGGTGGCTATCACTATCGGATACATTAATTTAATACCTCTGTCACGCCTGATGGAAGGTAATTCAGGTGCTGATAGTGCTCCATCACTGTCTTCTTGATCGATCAGTCCGGATGCTACTGTGCTAAGTCCAGATCTAAGACCAGGCTGCTGAGGCAACGTTCTGCTACTTCGCGGCAACGAATTCGATCTTAAACCTACCAACAACAAGGACAATCTTTCTCATTTTGCAAATAAGCGGGGCGTATCGCATAACTTGTTCATCATTATTATATCCCTTGTTAATGTTCTATCAAAATTTCTGAATGGATAATAATTGGAATTATGAAACAAAGAAACATTTGTCCCTTCTAAAGACTGTCACATATACGGCGGTAACAACTAACCGGAGGAACTCTGACCAATTTGCGACCTCGAGAGCGTCGCCAAGTGCGAGACAGCACTGCTTTGCGGCGGATTGTTCATGTTGTGCCTGTAGTAATAATACGCCGACTTAGGTGAACTGGAACACGTTGCTTCGGTATCTGATGCATAATCTAATGACGGCCGATGCCTCCGCGTCAAGGTTCCAAACTGACCTTGCCTCTGAGTGGACGATGTAGTGTCGCCCTGGGAGGCGTACCTCGTGTTGTATCTCAATACTGGCGTGCCTATTTTGTTCCATAAAAATTGTTACAAAACTTCCAATGCTTTATTTTTTAACAAAGTGAGATTAAATATCTTTATTCGAACGAAGACTTGAAAATCTGTCAATGGAAAATTGCGCGGACCTGATTTCAAGCTGGATCTGAGAAGAGTGTGTCGAGCCGGCGTGGTGATGCTCGTATAATCGACGCGGGGCAAATGTTGATCCGAGCCACTTCTAGGCATGATTCTACCACTGCTAGAATGCTGACCGTATCCGTAATGCGACGACTGAGTCTGTCCAGACAATCTGCTACCGATCGGTTGCATTCCCGCGCCCGTGGACATTCGACGACCACCATTCGAGGGCATTACTGGCCCCGTGTAGAAAGAGTGTACCTGAATTCATGAAATCGTCGTCAATCTCGCTATGTTCCCTTTAAATCGCGTGTATGCGTTCCTTCGTCTCACAGTCGATCGGTCAATCGTCGCTGCTTACGAAACGATCGACAAAATCGGTAGCAGACATTAAAAATCATCCGTGCGGGTAATTCGCGAAAATTCGAATCAACTGTGATCGAAGGAAACATCAACTGTAAATTACTGCGCCAACACGATCGAAGGATCCTGTTGTACGTACGCGTTCGTTTCGATCACCTTTCGGCGTGTTCCGTTTTGCTCGTGGATCCATCTATCGTGCGGACTATGACGATCACGGATCGTCACGAGGTGAGACAATACTCAGAAAGAAAGAAATCGAAAGAACGAGCGCATAGCAAAGCTTACGAGGCAACAAAAAGTAGGTTCACATCACAAACAGTGACAGACATACGCGTGATCAATTTCACGTGGACAATGACAAATATTTATCGCTTTCCGGAATCTAACTATCGTTATCGATTTTCCTTCGACGCAATGATCGAATTTGCAATTCAAACGACGAGCAATTGCCTTGAGTCTTAAGGTGAACCTCCACGAAAACGTACAAGTACTTGTCGACTGTCCAGGTCGGGCACGGTGCAGGAAATTGCGCTCATACACAAGTCTAGATATCAAGAAAGAGTTAGTGGTTTCTTTACCTTTGTGAAATCCTGGTTAATATCAACGTAGCATTCATTCATAGAACCGATTAGTCATGTGAAACACGTGGTCGAAACACGAGCGAGCTACGAACGGTCACCCTCCAAGTCGTTTGGACAATTCCTTCGACGGTTCTTCGATAAATTTTTATCGTTTACTTGCAAGTATTTTGAAAATAGAACCGGTTTCTATTCTTGTGTCTTTGATTATGAAAAACTTATGTATTCAGGATAATTTGCTTTATCCAAACGACTTGGACATTACGACAGTACGCATCATACTGATCTCTATACAGAGTGTCTCGATACGTTGCACACGAATTCACCACTTTCTTATTAATCGCGATTGCAATCGAGGACAGAAAAGGGCAAACAAGTGTCAACTTGGTGCAGACAGGTATGTGAAAGGGTGCTCGATCCACATCGTCTAGAACATCTATGTGTAACCTACTTCCAACTGCAGGTGGAGACTTACAATATGGATATTAACGCTTCCGTTTCCGGTTGAACTTCGTTACGACTAAATATCTTTCTTCTGCATAATATTTCCTACATTCTAATAGCGAAAAAAATCTTACATCAAGTCTTTCTTACAGAAATTCGTGTTTTTCGAAATGTAAGGGTGATAGTCCAAAGATTGACAACATTCAAAGTGTCCTAATATTTTTGAGCGGAAATGTACACCAACGTGACAGACTATATTATGGTTTTGATTCTTCTCGAACTTCATGAATTTTGGAAGTTCTATTAGATTTAAAATTTTGATATGTTCCCGACAAATCCATAACCGATGGTTTTCTTTCATCCCTCTCTTCTTAATAGTGTTTGCAACGTGTTCTTGAAACGAAATCTCGACCTGCATCGGAATATTGGGTAATAAGTAAAATACCACTCAGGACTTACTTTTTCAGCCAAACTCTCCAACGTTTTTGGATATCCGCGCTCGTACGGTTGAAAGTGTTGCGTCGCGGATGGTTTCGGTTGGTGCGTGATAACTGGAGGCGGCGGTGGCTGATAAGACCAGTGCCCTTCCGGTCTAGAATTGTAATACAAATCACCGTTGCTGGATCCTAGATCCTGACTAGATCCTAGACCCGTCAAGCCCAATTTCGACCTGGATGGCAGCATTTCACGACCATCGCCACGCTTACGATTACTGTCTCTGTAATTGAAATAACTATTCAATTGTTTCCGCGTCTGTCTCGGACCAAACTAAATTAATTAAAATTCCATCTTAACTGAATTCGAGTTAAAGTTAAAACAGATCGCTCTGAGTAGGGTACCGAGGCCGATTAAAGTTTAACTCGAATCTAATTAAACCGTTCCCTATTATAACTTTCTCCTATTGCAAAGACATCGTTCGAGTACCTGACGTGATTACTCGTTGCATGATCGCTCTCGTCCTCGTTCAACTCCCTCTTGATCACGACGACTGGCGGCGCCTTGTGCTCCGTTTGACGACTATGAGAGATCGGCTGATGCTGGCCGTGTCTCGTCACCAAAACGAGCCTCCTGGGTATCGACATGATGATCACCACGTCGTCCAGACTCATGTGCGTCACATCGACTAAATTCACCGCGAGGATCTCGTCACCCACCTAAATAACAAAGTGGAACTGTTTTGATCGGATCGTTTTGAAGATACAGTTTTTCCAGTCGTGTGAAACATTCCTTTCCATGAATTATTTGATTAAAAAAAAAACTAATTATTTCCCTCAGAAATTGGGTCATGTAACCTGGATACAAGTTACGAGAATGTATCCCAGATAGAAAACTCGGAAGTTGCTTATAAGTGAATCCGATGGTACGGCTCTCCCAGGGCGGAGGTCTAATAAATTCTGAGCCGAAATTAGTCTCGCTTCTAGCGCAGTGGCAATTACGCCCGGCGCAGAAAAATATAAAGAAAGGAAAAAGGATGGCGGAGCCTCACCTTTAAGCAGCCGCTGTTGTAGACGGCGGTCTCCAGGGCTATCCTCGAGATAAAGACACCGTCGTTCCTGTCGACGCCATTACCCTCGCGTATGTAGAGCCCGAGCGTCTGTCCTGGCCTTTTGATTATCTCGACAAAGTGGATGGGGTGCCTCGGATCCTGGAACAACGAAGCTGGACGATATCACGTCGGATTCGCTCGCTAATATTCCACGGTGTTAAGCGAAAAATAAGAATTCGCGGAGCGCGGAATTGTTTCATTGTCCGTGGCGCAATTATTCCAGCTTGTCAGGGGAAATAACGCCCGGGCATAATTCGAGGCTACAAAAGGTCACGAAAATGGGCTCGGAATTACTACTTTGGTACCGTTGCCGCATGTTTCCAGGCACCCAATAACGTGTGCTTAGCGAGAATCACGCGAAATAGAGATCGACAGTGTTGGAATAGGGGCTTTTTTCTGAAAGATGAAACCCTGATAAGTTCGCACTTAGCATATTGTTGCAGAAAAGTGTAATTTAGAAATTGCAGGGGATCGTGCGAACTTCTGTACACTTCACGGTTCGGAAGGGATCGTAAGGGTTTGAAAAATTAATCCTTGTTGGGTGAAAAGATTGGGAGTCTTTGACAACGAATATCTGATTCACTAGGGATTCATTAGGGATTAGATTCCTAGTCTTAACCCTTTATAACATACACTATAATTTGGTTCAGACTTCATAACACAAACTGAATTAAGGAAATAAATCAACAAAATTGAAATTATAAACACTTGCAAATTTTTTGGGAACCAAGCACACTTCCAATTTTCAAAATTGCTCATATTAAAGTAAACTGCAGAAGTTCCAAAGGGTTTAGAGCTGGGAATCCAATACATTTTAGATTTAGCTTGAAAGAAAGGTGAACAATTATCACACCTGCATAAGGATGAACTTCTTCGCAGCATCGGACGCTTGCCTGCCCATTTGTCGTGGCTCGATGACTCGAACGACCATCTCACCCCTTCGTTCGACAGCTTCGAGGGCCGCTGCTGTCGAGGCGTCATGATCGTTCTCGACGGTCTCGATCTGCTTGAAGATCTCCGTGCTGATCCCACTCACCTGCAACGACAGGTCCTTCCGCTTCAACCAGTATAATGCGAACGTGTGCTTTAATTGTGAATCGCGTGAAATTGTTCCAGACACCAGACCGAGAAACAACACTTCGAGACGCGAACTCTACCGTCTTCCCTTATAATACAATTTGTTTTCACGATTCAGTTCAACTGACAGCTAATCGTGCTTACATCCTACCCAGTCTATTGCTGGAACAGTTTCACGAACGTGGATGAAACGGTCCGATGCTTTCTTTCTAACTTAATTCTTCTTTCCCGGTGCACTTTCACTTTTTCAGTAATTACATTCAGCAATTGACTCCTCGAAGAGGTTTAATCGATTTTCACGAATCACGATATCCCGTTACTTACAGTATCCTGAAACGGGAAACTGAATAATAGTTGAGACAATTAATAAATTTCTTTCATATGTAAACATATGTGCAAAAGCTGTATTTCATGTGACTCTATTTAACGTCTATGTATTTATCGGGCTGAAACGAATTGTGGCAAATCTTCGGAAGAAAATGTCACTGGGGTACCTTTCTGAAATCTCCTTGAATGACCATGGGGGGTGGTTCCTTGGGGCGCAACTGGTTGGCAGGTGCTTGCCTCCCAGGACTTGCGCTTATGTCTGTCACTTCCCCCCGGCCCTCCTGCAACGAAATTAACAAATTAATTATAATAATACACAAAGTAAATGCTACATTAATTATATTATCGGTACTTTGACTTAATGAAATTCAAGTATTAGAGTACCCTATAAATTCATGAAACGCTTCACGAGTGGTAGAAAGGTAACGTCAATCGAGGACACGTGTTTCTTGTAAAAAAAATCGTAAAAATACTTGTTCCAGACCGGACAAGGTGGTTCGGATCTTTATAGATCAGATTAAATGATAAATTCTAATTTCGGACGTCTATGCTGGTTTTGATTTCAAAGTAGCGGTTTTAAAGTCTGCCGCAAATCAGGTTAAACGGGAACAAATCTCTTTGCGGCGTTGCACGCGAGATTCAATCGGTAGCCTGATTAAAGGCTCGTAAAAATTGCAAGCGCTTTCAGTCGGTTCAGCTCCGTGAAATTGCGGACAATCGGGGGATATACGCGTTTAAAAAGGATCCCCCGAAAATAGAGCAGATTTATTTAGTCAATCATCGATGCGAGGCATCGCGAAGACAGATAATAATCAGCCGCGCAAACAGAGGCCATAATATGCACTCTTGCAATCATACGAAGTGCAATTTCCTCCTGGTTACGCTTCGCGAATTTGAAATTAGTTAGCATCGCCAATTTAAGACTCTACGTTCAATTTAAGCGGATCGAGCAGTTAAATTCCGCCAAAATATAGTCTTCTTTGAGAATTAATTCCATTTAATCCATTTGAACTCATTTGCATCGTACGTAAGAATGAAAAATATTTTCTTGTCTTCAAATTTTCTCTTATTAATCTTCATTTTTAATTATACTCCTCAAAGTACGAATAAATATTGCATAAAAGGAAAAGTCTGATTTTAGATTTATATTTATATTTGTATTACTCAGTCTCTTTAAACGAAGCAATATTGAAGTTCCACAACTAGCTGTTTATTTCTGTCTATTCTACCAGCAAGTATTTTCGTTCAGTATGTGCGTTTAGGAGACTTCGAATATCATTCCTAAATTGAATTAACTTTAATAACTCTTGTTATTGAGAAGTGCATTATTCCAGGAATAGGAATTCGAACGCGGAAGCTGTTATTGGAATAATTAATGAAACTATTTTTAAGATCAGGTATTTCATTTCGGATTCACGAACGCGTTTGAATATGTATAACATTTTAGGAACGTCTCGATACGTTCGCTACGCTGTTTTTCTTTCACGACACTTGAATTTGATGGCAGACCTCGAACAGCCTCGATTCAGCACGTCTTGGAACTCGAGGAACCAATAACTCCCTTTCGACGGTTCAGAGTACAGACAGATACGGAAACTCATCGAAAGAAGCGAACAAGTGTTGGCAAACCCACGTTTGGAGACTAACCATTATTTTCATTTCCTACAAGACCCACTTCAACGGGAATACGCTACAGACATTAATAGAACAAGCAATACATAACGTCTGTGCAAATGTAAAAACAACAAACCCCTGTTTACCGGTAAAAGTAAAATAGCGTTCAAATTACGGATAACAAAATAAACTACTTAGTATTCGTTACTCGTAGAATAACAATTAAAATAATAATTATAGAATGAAACGTTTCACCATGAACAAACAACAATTTAATCGATCCAATAAATTCATTTAGTATCTATCAATTGTGTTCTATCTTTTAACATTTGCATTTGCGTAAGAATTTTTTATGTATCCGATCTCGAAGAATTTTTCAGTAATGCACCAGCAGCACACGTGTTCTATAAAAATGCGGAAACAGTGACAATGGAGCAACTTTCTAGGGCTTTAATTTTTTTTTTCAGACGTCGACTGACGCATGAATATTCCTGGCAGATACTCCTAAACAATGGTTCGTTCCAAGCGTCGGTATTATAAATCCAGCCTTCCAAATGTCCTAATAACAATGAAAACCCGCCGTCGAACACTTCAACAAATAACTTTTCTTTTCAATCGTACTACAATTTAAATATGTACACGTTACTGATTAACGCTGTACGTACTTGATCCGTTCGTATTAATGAAAATGAATCTAGAGCAACGAGTAAGTTAAAAATATATAACATTTGATTTTCATGAAATCTAGCATTAATAATCCAAAGCCAGCAACGTTATCTATTCCTCCTGAAAAATAAAATTCCTGGCACTTGCATTTCTGCATCACTTTCTCTAAAAAACGGTTCAGCTATAAATTCTATGATTTGTTTATGCATATCGTCGCCTGGTATTCTACGCTCGGTCCTGACCGTAGGATTCCCTAGCCGGCAGTAAAACGCCAACGCAATCGTTCGTGTGTCATGGCCCTAAGGACATGGACGTAGCAAGGTGAGCAGATCTTACGGACAGCGAGTAGTGAACGCGATTTCGTGGCAGACAGACTGCTATTCCTGAGGGAAGAAGCTATTAGCGGTACCGATCGAGGGTATTTCGCTTAACCAACCACTCGAAACTGACTTAAGTGGATCACTATGTATTCGTTGGAGGAACTTGTACGGTCTAGAACCGGTGCACGCACGTTCCACGGTAAGCCGGTGCAGGACGGTTCCGAAGAGAGGCACGCGACGTGTAAACGCACCCCGTGGAGGCATGTGAAGAGGACGAGCCACGCGGCGGAGCCGCACATCCGATCGCAGAGGGACAACAAGGACATCCACACTTGCGCGGCCGATTTGCAACCCCTTTTGTTCGAGGCGTCCTCGGCAAGCCCGGCGGCGGCTAGCTCTTCGCCCTTCGTGCAGCCCTCGGCACCCCTCTCTCTGCCCGGTTCCTGCGTCCAGGTCTGTTCCTCTTTCCGTCCGTTGGTCTCACCCTCCGTTCGACCCCCTGTCGTCGCGCGTTTCGTGCCAGCCTGCGTATCCATGCGTCCACGGCTCGAGGATTCGAGGGAACGCAGAACGGCGAATTGGGCCACCGGTCCACCCTTCCGCCCTCTCCTCGGCCCCAGAGGCAGCCTCCTCTTGCCCTATGGCCTTTTTACCAGCCCGGTTTTCCGTCCGTGGACACCACGCGACTTGAAGACGGCCCGGCCACGCGACGAAGTACACGGATTACCTTACGGGAGAAGAAGCAGCCCGAGCCACCCCTGTCGCACATCCTCGCCTACCCCATGCTGGCTAGTATGGCGGGAAGGAGAGCGCTCAGGAGCGTACGAGCCGCGCTTGCGTACTATCGCTTACGATGCCGGGAAAGGGAGTGTGGGTGAGTATCGACCCGACGTGACGTCACTTCCCGCACAACCCCCAGCCCTCAACTTCTCTTGCTCTGTCTTTCGCGTTGATACTCGGTTACGCTGCCCCGTACTACCTCCTTCAACATAACCTCTCGTCTCTGTCCGTCTCCCTTTCTACTCCTGGGTTGCTTCTATCTGGTGCTGGTTTTCTGCTGTTTGCCCTCTCCCTTTCTCTTTACCACTCTCTGGGTCTCTTCTTCGGAGTCTCGGTGTCCTGTTGGCGGCTACGCTCCGCGACGATACGGCAGGACTGTTTGTATCTTGTAGCGTTTCGACCGGCTAAACGAGATGCAAAAGACCGAGCTCTATCTCGTTTGCAATGAAAGCCACGGTTCGTGAAACTGATCAATCTGATCGCGTCTCTCGTTCAAACCTCTTTGATTTTCTACCCTCGATTGATTATCCCGCGTCATCTTTAACCATCAATACTCCTTTACACGATTCCTGGCTCTTTTCACGCTTCTTCCTTCCCCTCCCACTCCCATCCTCTTCGCCGAATCATGTCTCTTCATTTCTCACGATTTACGGCGAATCTTTCTCCACCTGGAACTCATATTTGTCTCCCTTTCGCGCCAGTCCGAATCCTCGTCATCGATCCCACCATTATTTTTACTTCGACCTATTTTACCCGCTCGAGGATATTCATTTATCCCCCTTTTATTTCGCGACGCGGCCGTTCGCCACTAATTGCATCCAATCCGTCCTCTCTTGACATCCTTCCCGTCCCGATGCACCTTGCCCAACAGTTCCTTTTATTTCCCATGGTTTTCATCCTGGATCTCGAGTGGGTCGTCGACACGATCGCACGCACACTAGGGTGGAACCTTATCTTTCGACCTGAAAACTTTTATTTTTATGTAGTACGTTGATTATTGGAACCTCGATTATTCGAATGTCTACTATCCAAACACAAGTGAAATTGGTAAATAAGTTTTGGAGAACGCATCGTCAACGACTCCACGCTCGAATCAAGTAGAAATAACTAATAATGGTTAGACGTGTTCACAATCGCGAACATTAATGATCGATGCAAAACTGCAAATCAATTAAATGAAGAATCGCGGGGGCAACGTTAGCACGTCGCAACGATAAAATAATCCAGCACCTGACGGCCGGTATTAATTGTATTAAAACGCTAAACAAAGGGAAACGAGAATCCACGAGGGTAGCCCGCGAGAAGCGTGCTCTTCGGTCTGGACACGTAAAATCCACCCGTGTCGCGAAAGGTCGTCACGCATGTGCCGACGATTTCGTTCGGGACTCAATGAAAACGCCACGCTCTAATGCCACTCGCTACTACCGCCAGAAAAAGTCACCTCCATTCAAATTGATACCTCGCGAAAATAATTTGAGTAATTCGGGGAGAACGGCAGCGCCGACAAAACTCGTATTTAGAATTCGAAAAACACCGCCGCCGAGGCAACGGTGAATTTTATTTCTGGCGTTCGTAGCACGAAAATGAGCGATTCTTCGTTGATAGGTTGATAAACGAAAGAGAGATTTGTCGGCTCCATTCCCAGTGGATCCAACTTCCCTATTCGATTCCACGACTTTGGGAACAAATTTTTAAATTTTCAAGCTCTCGAATGGACGATTTTGGTATCGAACTTTCGTATGAAAAACTGTCCGCAGTCCCTTGCAAGTTAACAAAAATAAGAATAATCGATTGCAGGGTCTGTGTGTGACAGATAAAACTCTCCGGCGAGTACGCTCGACCTAAATATATCTGACCTAAAATCGTTTCGCATCGTTCGAAAAACACTTTCGAGAAATATGGTGGAAACTTCATTAATAGGAATTAATTGGGGGACAAAAGTGGTCACCTAAAAGAACAAGCGATTAGTCCTCAGCCTTGAACAAGACTGATATTAGAAGAAGATACATATAACAGGAGTTAGAAAATTCTGTGGCTGGTGGTCCAAACCAAGAGACGAATGGTAAGTTCGTAATAGACAATGTTTGTTAATCACCGATCATCAGCACTCTGGGAAAGGTTAGAACAATAGTCTCATCGTTTACATAGTAAGAGACGTTAATGTACAGTCCGCGTGCGCCATTACGGGCCTTCTTGCACCGGTTTCAACCTCCTGCTAACGCCATCCTTGTTACCATCACCGCCTTCATCGTGTCGCTATGTGCCCGACGACCCGTTGCAACCCCTCGCGGCAATTTCAACCCCACGGATTTCGTTGTGGAAGGGGTTGTTCGACTCGGCTTGTGAAAGGAAGGATAGCTAGAGATGCAGACGCTTAAGGGATGAAGAGACGTTGAAGCGCGCAGGAGAGATAAGTATGTGTACAAATAGGTAAAAGACTCGGGAGTATTAGCATCGACGGAATCATGTGGATCCGTGGAAGAGATAAATATGATTAGGAATTATTTTGGTTAATAATATTTAGACTTGAAAACTGAAATTAGGTATCAAAGTGGTTACAGGTGGATGATGTTAAGAGAACTCGTAAATAAAATAGACGGATGAAGAAGCAAAACGGAACCAGCATTCAGAGGATATAGACGTGAAGGTGTATCAGAAATTTGCGTGGTTATGAAGTGGAATAACGCGGAAATAGAGGGAAGAGTAGAAATGAAAGTTAAGGCGGAGGAATATGCAAACACAAAGTACAAAAAAGGGCAGAGCATCTAAACAAGAGCCAAGCAACATTCAGACGGATAATAATAGGGGACGGTCGAGGGGGGAGTTAGAGTCGAAAAAAGAAGAGCCAAAGCACTCGGTTCACAATGCAAAGCACCCTCGTGTGGGATGGAGAGAGGGGAACGATAAGTGCCGAAAATTTCAAGAACCCCCGACGACGGCGGCATCGGCGTCGCTTATATCCGTGTCTCCGGTCGTAAAACGTGCTTCAACGAATTCTCCCCGGTTTTTCGACTCTCGCTGAGATTGATTCGTTAACTCGAGTTAATAAAGCGCGACGAGAAACATACCGGCCGTCAAAGCATGCAAAAAGCGAACCGGTCGAAGATGGGAAAAATAAATAAGAGAGGAGGATTCTGTCTGAAAAGGACCGAGATTCAGCTGCGACGATGAAAACAGAGGAAAAGAGGGGGAGGGAATGGAACGTTTGGCGGGAGAACGCGAACCGGAGGAAAATGATTACCGACTCGTGGGGTTCTGAAAAGACCAGGGAAACTGTGAGCGGCGGAAAGAGAGGACTAGTCAAAAGAAACACACAACGACAAACGGATGCTGAGAACAAAGAAGACAGGCGGACAGATAGAGACGTACGGTACCGAGGACAATATGGGTTCGCTTCGAGGAAGATGACGATACCGCGGCAAATCGAAAACCCGAACAAATGTGTACCGTCTGTTTACGAGTCACCTTCTAGGATTTGAAGTTAGACCCTTAACGCGTTCATTACCGTGTATCCTGCCGACGGTCGTCAATGATAAAACTACAACGTTGGAGAGAACTTGAAATTCAGATTAACAATCTAAGAAAAAAATGAACTCAAACAAAAGATAAGTTGTGCGTCCATATTATGCGGAGAATAGCTCTGAATTTACCCTTGCAAAAAACTTCTAACTTCACCCTGGCCAGTTTGCACGTTACCCGAACTTAAAGCAGAGCGCAAAGTGTTAAATGAATTACTTTCAGGGCTTTAAGGGCCTATTTCGCGGCTGACAGGGCGCGGAAAAGTGGCCAGCCCTCGGTAGGCTGCGAACCGAGTCGGTCGAGGGTCGAAAAATGGTAGAAGCAGGTCAGAGGGTTACCCTAACGTCGAAACGTGTCCCGCTGGGCTGGATTCAAGGCGGCCGATTTACCACGGTTCTGTTTCAATTTGGCACCGCTCCATTGGCCTACCGTATACTTTTCCAGGGAATTTACCCACCGGCGAACAAAAAGGAACGCGGTTCGATATGAAAAACGACTTTTGGCTGCTCTGACGTAAGTCTCGATTTGTGAAAACAGCGAGCGTCGTTTCTTTCGAAGTAGACTGCATCAACGACTAGCTGCATTGCTCAGAATTATACAATCTTATCTACAGACAGATGTAAATCTGAAGAAGCAGAAAATAACAGTTATTTACAACATTTTTTTGGTAAAGATCGTCGAGTAAAAATTAATTCTTAAAAGATCTAATTGTTTTATAATTTCCTAAGTAAAATTACTGATACTGTGCTCTATTCTTTTATATAACAAGCTGCATAAAATAAAAAGAATTTGGCATAGAAGTCATTTTGTCCGTCACACGAGCTAGTCTGTCGTTCAAATCTGCCGCTGCGAATGGCTCTAGAATAATGTGGGGCATCGATAACGCTCGACAAAAAAAAAAAAAAAATAAGAGAGGAAGAAAGAAATGGGAACGAAACACGAAAATCTCTTAAACCGCTCGAAGTGTGGAGAAGTGTCGCGATAACCGAAGCGATCAAAACCGTACGGAGGATACGACGTCGAGAAAAAACGGAGACGAGATGAGGACGAATGGAGGAGGAGGGTAGGAGAGGAGAAGAAGACGCTGGGCGGTGGAAAACGTAAAGCTACGCTACTGCGCGTAGTAGCCCCGGAAGTATCAGTAGTAAAACGTAGTAGTAAGTAGTAACGGCGTGTACGCAGGCGTACGCACGTACGGCGTCGTTCGGGGTCGAAAAAATGTGGAGCTGGTGGGAGA